GTTCAAAAATAATAAAATTCTTCTTAGGAATTCAATTATTTTCACAAATAATAAAACTTATCGCAGAATTTGAATTATTTTTAATACAATTTTAATCGAATTCTTCGAAAAATGTAATTATTCTTAGAAATTTTATTAAAATTCGTCGATAGAATTAAATTATTTAAAAATTCATTCATAAAATTTTTTAGAAGAATTCAATTTTAAGAAACATGCAATTATTCAATAAATTGTATTTTTTGTATTTAAATAATTGAATTCTAGGAGAATTTTCTAATAAAAATTGATTTTCATTTCATAAAAATGAATTTCAGTTAAAATTTTAGATAATAATTAAATATTAAAATCAATATAGCGTGAAAGTTTAATTGAATTTTTTTTTTATTGAAGAATTTACGAATAATTGAAATTTAGTAAAATTGAATATTGTAAACAAATGGATTTGATAATTGTCAAAGAACTTTTTTGAAAATTATTTAAAATAATTGATTTAAAGAAGAATTTTAGTTAAAAATTCTGGAAAATAATAATTGAATTGATAATGATTTTATCGCTTTATCGCTTAAGTAAATTGTTCGTGAAAGTTATTTAGTCAAACAAAAATTAGTAGTTAACATTAATTACGTTCTGGCGGAACGTTTTTTTGATATTAGTAGCAGCAATCATCTATAGGCAGACATTCTTCAAGCTTTAAGTAGTGAAAATAATTTTCAATCAGACATCGAATTTTACTTCCAGTACACTGTAAAAAATTTAGGGAGTTAATGGACTCGGGAGTTGGGAGTGAAATTTTTCGAGTTAAAAATCAACTCCAAAAGAGAGTTAATTTCTAACTCCCTTTATTCAACACCCGCGCGAGTTATTTTTTCCATGGGGAGTTAGCATTTGGGTGTGAAGTTTTAACTCTCTTTTTTTAACTCCCCTGGCATTAACTCCCCAATGGGTGCGACTTTTATAGAATCCCCTGGGGAGTTAAAATTTAACTCCCTTTTTTTACAGTGTAGTGGTTTGAAATTTTTTCTATTGTTTACCAAAAGAAATTTTTTTGTTTTCTTGTTTTTTATTATAAAATCCTACTATTCTCCACAATGAATTGATATTGAATGACAACAATTGAATTTATTTATCTTTTTTTTTAAATTTTATAAAAGAAAACGAAGTGATAACAATTGAGTAATATTTGAACAATATCGCATAGTTTTTTTTTTATTATTAATATAATTTTTTTGTGCTTCTTTTATAAACCTGGCTTGAATCCAATTTTGCTTCTTTTGTTTTGTTTTTTTTTCTTCATACTCTCGCTATCACTATTGCAATATTGTAGTAAATGCCACTATTCTACACTATCTGCTGGCCCTGTGTGTGCTCTGTGTTCGGAAGATTTATTTTTTCGTTTATCCGGATAAACTGAGAGAGAATATAATTCCTATACATAACCATGATATACGGAATAGTGCGAGATACGTCGAATATTCCAAATACTCCTATTCTAAAGCATTTCCACTCATTCAGAAAGATAAGATTGTTAACTTTTGCGCGAGTAAAATTTATTTTCATTAAAAAGTAATTACAAAAGTTCTGTCGTTAAACTTTTCTTTAAGAGTACAAACATAAGTTTTTGTTATTCAACAAGTGTCAGATTCTTATGCAAATTTCTTTCTTTTAATCACCATTTCTTTTCTTATTAAGTAATCATTTTTTCTGTGTGTATATATTTTTTCTTTGTTTATTTTAGAGAGAGGAACTTTCGTTTTTTTTCTTTCTCTAACTACTTTAAGGTGGTTATTCTTTTTATTGCGAAAGTTGTTGTGATAGTATAGTTGTTGTGAGTGATGATATAGTTTCAGGAGTGGTTGAGTGTGTTGATAAATGTATAAATGTCATTAATAGTTTGATGACGAAATCTATAAGTTCAGGTCATCAATAATTGGAGTACACTAAAAAGTTTATTGTATCTTCAGTCAATATATGATGAATTTAATCAATTTGGACAGAATGAAAACTATTCAAAAAATAGTTGTGGAATTTTTTAGAAAGATAAAGAATTTTATAGTGCATATACTTTTAAACTAATATTTTTTATTTTTCGCTGTAATATTCATTGAAAGAAGATAATTGTGGAATTTTATAAAAGTATTTTTCAAATTTGGGAATTTTTATATGAATTCTACTAAGTGTAAGGTAGAAAATTATATAATTTTTTTAATAGATATTAATTATATTATTCATAATTATATTATTTATTATATTATTTATTATTATTATTAATTATATTATTAATTTCGACAATATTTTCCTATATAATAATAATAAAATTCTTCAAAGGATAAGAATTTTTTTAAATACAATTTCTCGAAAGAATTCAATTATTTTTAGTACTTTTAATAAAATTCTTTCCAGAAATTCAATTATTTTCATAAATTTTAATAAAGTTTTTCTCAAGATTTCAATTATTTTCATAAATAATAAAATGCTAAGTAAAAAAAATTAATTATATTTAAAAATTTAATAAAATGCTTTGCAGGAGATCAATTATTTTCTTAAATAAAATAAAATTCTTCAAAGGATTTCAATCTTTTTAAATAGTATTTCTCGAAAGAATTAAATTATTTTGAAAAATTTTAATAAAATTCTTCAAAGGATTTCAATTTTTTTGAATACAATTTCTCGAAAGAATTAAATTATTTTGAAAATATTTAATAAAATTCTTCAAAAAAAGTTTCAATTACTTTCTTCTATAATAAAATTCTTCAAAGGATTTTAATTTTTTTGAATACAATTTCTGGAAAAAGTTAAATTATTTCTAAAACTTTTAATAACATTTTCCCCAAAAATTCAATTATTTTAAAAAATAATTAAATTTTTTGCAAAAAATCAATTAATTTCAAAACTTTAATAAATTTTTTTGCAAACATTCAATTATTTTCATAAATAATAGAGGTTTTTGCAAAAATAATAACTTTCTTTATAGGAATTCAATTATTTTTAAAAATAAAAACTTTCTTCGCAAAAATTAAATTCTGTTTAAATTTTCTTTTAAATTTCTTAAAATAATCCAATTATTTTCAATAATTTTAATTAAAATTTTTTCCAGAATTTCAGTTTTTTTTTATAAATATTAAAATTCTTTTGCAGAAATTCAATTTTTTTAATAAATAATAAACTTCTTGGCACGATTTTAATTATTTTTAAAAATTTTAATAATATTCTTTGAAGAATTCAATTTTTTGCATAAATATTAAAATTCTTTGTAGGATTTCAATTATTTTGAATAGAATTTTAATACAACTTCTCAAAAGAATTTAACTTTTTTAAAAACTTTTAATAAAATTCTTGGAGTGAATTCAATTATTTTCATAAATAATAAAAGTCGTAGGAAGATTTCAATTATTTTTAATCTAATTTTAATAAAATTTTTAAAAAGAATTTAATTATTTTTAATGTTATTTTAAAAATAAAATTTGTCTAAAGAATTCAATTATGTTTAAAACATTTATTAAAATTCATTGCAAATAAGAAAATTTTTAATAAAATTTAAAAACAAATTCATTTACCTGCACTACAATTTTAATTAAATGTCTTGAAAGAATTTAATTATTTTCTACAGAATGTCTATAGAATTTTTTGTTTATTTTGCAAATTATTTGTAATGTTTATTTATTTTTCTTTAATTTAATAGTTTTTCTTCTGGGAAATAAATGAAATAAATCCTTATGATTTACAAAGCAAACTTTAATTTATAGGTTAAAAGTGTATCAAATTGTAACGAATTGATACCAAAAATGCGAATCAAATCATAAATTGGTCTAAATTTTTGTTTATCATTTTAATTCAGTTTAGTATCAATTTCATAGTTTCAAAATAATTGCTAATTAATAAATTAGAAAAAAGTAAATAAATCGAGTAAATCGAATAACATTAAATGTTTAGACTGAATTTTCAAAAAGGAAAATTCTAATATATGTTGGAATGTTTAGAACTCGCAAAAAATTCTAATATATATAAGAATTTTTTTTTTTTTGGGAATTACTTTATAGGTGAAAAAAAAAATTTCCTATTTGGTGGGAATTTTTTTTTGTAGAAAAGGTGTGCCTCAAACAGAGATTTTAGGTTACTTTTTCCTTGTGAAATTCGAAGTGGCTCATAAACTCCCTGGCAGTGTATAGTTCATGAACCTAAAGGTGATGTTTCCATATCAGCGTGTGGTTCGTTTGGAAAGTTTTTTTTTCTTCTCTCTCTTTTTTTTTTTTTGAAACAGGAAGTTAAAAAAAGCTCGAGAGTTTTTCCGTGTGAGATAAGCACCTCCAGCAGCGTTACCTTCCATTTACTGGTTGTAAATGAAAAAACTCAGGAAGCAAGGTTTCAAAAAAAAATCTTTATTTTATTTTAACAAATTTATTTTTACTGTAAATGTACAATTTTTTCACTCGTATTTTTAAATGATTATTCCCGCGCGCACAATATAATACTAAATTCGTCGCTCTCTTGTCGCTCAGGTAGAACCTTTTCTTCCCCACTCTTCGTTCCTTTTATTGTTCTTCAATTCATTTATTGCCCTTGGTCGCCAAAGTTTTCCCTTTTGGGAATTTCCGTAATGATAATATATAAACTAATGTTTATATCACGTACACGGAAAACAGTCCTACCATTTTGCAATTAGAATCAAGCTAAAGTAATTTTTACAGAAAGTCAATACTATTCTGTTTATTTAAACTGGTTGTCATTTATATTTGTTTCATTATCTTTATTTATTTTTTTTTCTTCCTTTTAGGAAATAGTACTGAATGCCTAAACAATTCAGTCCTCTTTTTTTATCAGGAAAGGTGGTGAATGTTTCAACTGTTCAACCATTTCTTTCCTAGTCTTGCTGAATGCCCAAACAGTTCAGCCAATTAAATTAATAAAAACCAACCACCGATTTATAAACAAACATATTTAACAAATAAATTAAAACATTTTTACTCTATTTCATACAATCCTCCACCCCAGTACAAGGATTGTTATCCTTGTACTTCTGATGCCTTTATTAACGGAATCAACTTATTTGCAGCTCGAATAAAAGACCCTTTAACAGTTTTTACTGTGACAACACGGACTCGACCATCTGATCCGGGATGCAATTTTTCAATAATACCCTTTGGCCATGAATTTCGTGGTTCCTGAGTATTTGCTATTAAGACAACATCACCTTTTTCAAATGAATTACCCTCTTTGGTCCATTTTTGTCGTGGCAGCAATGTTGGTAGATACTCCCTCAACCATCTCTTCCAGAAGGAGTCTGCAAGGCTTTGCGCCTTTGCCCATTGAGCTCTATTGCACTCAGCTAACACGTCAAATCTTTTGCCTAATGCATGACTAGAGGAACTTCCTATGAGAAAATGATTAGGTGTTAGCGCTTCTTGATCATGTGGATCAAGAGAAATATGAGTAAGAGGTCTAGAATTTACACATTGTTCAACTTCTGCAAACAAGGTGAGTAAAACTTCTTCTCTTGGTGCCTGATCCTTCAAAACAGTCGATAAGGCAATTTTCACTGATCTAATTAGTCTCTCCCAAACCCCTCCCATATGAGGTGTATCAGGTGGTGTAAATCTCCATTCCAGATGATTCTCCAATGCAAATTTGATATGATCTTGCGTCCCCATTTTTATTATTGCTTCTTTCAGTTCATTTGCTGTTCCTCTAAAATTAGTACCATTGTCAGAATATATGACATTTGGTTGACCTCTTCGAGCTATTAATCGACGTAATGCCATTATGGTTGAGTCTGATGATAGAGTATGAACTAACTCTAAGTGTATGGCCCTTGTTGACATACACGTAAACAATGCTCCCCATCTTTTCTGTCTCTTTCGGCCTACTGTTACCAACATTGGTCCAAAGTAGTCCACGCCACAGTGAGTAAATGGTCGTACATGATAAGCCAATCTTGGTTCTGGTAGATTTCCCATTCGAGGATTTTCCGGCTTCATGCGTCGCAATCGGCAAATTTCACATTTAGTGACAATTGATTTTAAAGTGGTTCTGAATCTGGTTATCCAAAACCTTTGCCGCATTTCATTTATTACTGTGTTGTTATTTACATGTTGCATTTTTACGTGATATTCTTGTATTAATAATCTGGTAATCTCTTGTTTCCCTTCTAATATAATAGGCTGATGTTCAAAGGTAAATTCTGAGGTATTTTGTATTCGACCATCTACTCTCATGACACCTTCATTATCTATCTTTGGTGTTAAAGATCTCAGTAAACTATTTTTCTCCACGTAACCTGTTTTTTCGATTGAGAGTATATCCTTCAAAAAACTTTGTTTTTGCGATTCCTTGAATAATAATATTTCTGCTCTTGTATAGTGATCTAATGTTAATTTCGCATCTTGTTTTCTTTTCCATTTATCGACCACATATAGTATAAAGGCAGTGTTTCTTAACAATTTTTTCCAACTTGAAAAGCGCTTTGCTTCTGGTAGACTTGACATTTTAATGCACGTTAATGTAACTGCAATCCTTTTTTCCTTTTCTATTTCCGATGAATTTTTTTCCACTTGACAATTATTTTCATTTGGCCATGTTGTTTCATCTTCTTTGAGAAAGGCAGGTCCAGTAAACCATTCTGTGTTTGTATCAATTCTTTTGTTTGTTAGACGTGTTGAATGATCTGCTGGATTCGGATCAGTCGGAATCCATCTCCACTCTGAAGGACTTGTCAGCTCACAAATTTCTCCTAGTCGGTGCGCTACAAATACTTGGTACATTCTTGGGTTAGATTTTATCCAAGCTAAGACAGTTCTCGAGTCACTCCAAAATATACGTCGATTGACCTTAATAGAATGTTCCGTTTCTATCGTATTTGCAAGTCGGCTTCCCAACAGAGCAGCTTGTAACTCTAATCTGGGTACTGAAAGTGGTTTCAGCGGAGCTACCCTACTTTTACTAATAATGATACTTGTCTCCACGGTTTTATCTTCAAATTCAAATCTCCAATACCCAACAGCAGCGTACGCTTTCGTGCTGGCGTCACAAAACATGTGCAGTTCAACAGCTTTCGCTTTTCTATGATTTGATATGTAACATCGAGGAATACAACACTTTGCCACCTGTGAAAGCTCACTTAACCAATTCTTCCAAGAATGAAATTCAGCTTCACGTATTTTCTCGTCCCACTTGACACCGCTTGTCCAAACGTCTTGCATGATAATTTTAGATTTTATGGTAAAACAAGACAAAAATCCCAGTGGGTCGTAAATCGACATAATTATCTTGAGGAATTCCCTTTTAGTGGGTATGCAATCTCCTGACAGTAAGCTTGGTGACATAGATTTCAAATTGATATTAAATTTTAAAACATCTAATGCTGTGTCCCATTTTAATCCGAGAGCCTTTTCATGTTTAGCTTGTGTTGTTGTGGAGAATTCTAGTACCACATCCTTAGAGTTAGTTGTTTTTATTGAAGACAGTGCTTCTAGAACATTTTGATCGTTACTAATCCACATGTGCATATTGAATCCTCCTTGGTGGTTGATTTCTGTGACTTGATTTATAATCTCGGCTGCTTCTTTTGGTGTTTGATAGCTAGCCAGGAAATCATCCACATAACTATTTCTAACTATTGCCTGCGCCGCTATAGGCATAGTATTTTTAAAGGCCTCAGCATTTTTATTTTTCACATAGATTGCACTGGTTGGTGATGATTTTGATCCGAATATGAGTGACGTCATTTCGTATTCTTCTGGTGGATTTTTTCTATCTCTTCCTCTCCATAGGAATTTCTGTGCGTAACGGTCTTCCTCACGTAATTTGATCCTCAAAAACATATCGCGTATGTCACCTTTTATTCCTACTGCGTGTTGACGAAATCTCATTAGAACTCCAATTAGTGAGTTAAGTAACGTCGGACCAGCTATGAGAAAATCGTTCAAACTTTTTCCATGAGATTTAGCTGCGGCATCAAAAACGATTCTCACTTTATCACCCTCTTCATTTGTAGAAATAACTCCAAAGTGAGGAATATACCATGTATATTTACTTGTAGATTCTCTTCCTTTTTTTTGTGCATATCCATTTTTTATAAACCTATCCATTTCAGCATAATATAATGAAGCAAATTTGGCATCTTTGTCTAATCGTTTCTCCAAATTGTTTAGCCGTCGCAAAGCCATTTGGCGACTACTTCCTGGAAGTACGATGTTATTGTCATTCCACAATAAACCAGTTTCCCATCTACATTCGGATATTCGTTTGGTTGTTGCCTTCAATATATTGTTTCCTCTTGTTTCTTCACTATTTAGTTTCTCTCTATTTGTAACTCCTAATGACTCTATTTGAAAATATGTCTTGACCAAATTATGTAAGACCGTGTCACTATCATCGGATGGATTTGTATAATCCCTGTAATTCTCATCTTTTTCATTACTCAGCAAAACTATATTGTGTGAGTTTTTACGCCCTTTAATTCTTCCATGGATAACCCATCCTAATAAAGTCTTTGACGCAACTAATGAGCTGTTTTTGATTATTTTCATATCGTGAGTAACGAGAAGCTCCCAATTATCTTGACCAATTAGAATCATAGGTGTTGAATTCAGGTATAAGTTATTAATACCTAAGATATGTTTGACGTCAGTTATTACTTGTCTGTCCATAGTTTGACTAGGTAGGTTCAATTCTGGTACCGTAATTACATTATGCAGCTTATATTTTTCAAATTCTCCTTTTATCGTCAGGGTAACTCTATTGCTCACAGTTTCTAAGCAACCTAAATTTCCTACACCCTGTATAGTTATTTTTGTGGATGGGCCTTTGGCCCCTAAATATTTTGCAATTCTTGCGTCAATTAATGTGATTGTCGATCCGTCATCTAATAGGGCATATGTTTGGATAGATTTTCTTTGTCCTGCCAAAGTGATTGGAAGTATTTTTAATATTCCTAGATCACCAGCTAGTCAACTATTTTCCACATTTTGGGTTTCTGTTTCCTTTTCCATCGTCTCAATAACTGGAACTATTTCGTCCTCTTTTATTTTATGTAACAGTCGATTATGATTTTTTTCACATCCAGCAATTTGACAGTTAAATCCTTTACATTTCACGCTTGTATGTCCTTTACGTAAGCATTTATAACATATTTTATTTTCCTTAACCCAATTCCATCTATCTTGTAATTTTAAATCCTTAAATCCAAAGCATCTATATATTTTATGTCCTCTCTTCTTACAAAATTCACATTCGATGTCACGTTTTTGTGTATTGTTGCTGGATTTATTTTGTTTTGTGATTTTATGTGATGTGGATGCCACAACTGCTCTTATTTGTGATTGCGGTTTTCGTGACGATGCGTTGTTGTTCCGAACATTCATTGTCGCTTGATTTGATTGCAATCTGTTTGTTCCAGCTTTACTTGCCATCTGTGCTTCTTTATACAGGTATTCGGATAAACTTACAAGTTTAGGTTCATCGTTATTGTTTTTATTTATGTAGCGGTTAAATCCATATATCAGCGTACTAGGCATCTTCGAGATAATTTCCGATATTATGTTGGGGCTGTGTAAGTGTCCAATATGATTTAGTGCTTGGATTGCTGCTACTCCATTGCGAACTTTTGTGGCAAACGATATAAGGTCAATTTTTCCTCCCTGAATTTTTGGAAGCACTTTTAAATCCTGAATAACCTTTTGGATTATATTTTCAGGATCGCCAAACCGTAGTTCCAAAGTTTGCATTATTATTTCAGAACTACTTGCCGTCAACATTAGTGCATCAACAGCTTCCCTTGCCTTACCCTTCAAAGCGTCATATAAACGGGACACATTTTCCTTATCCGTGTATTTTCCTAGTTCTGTAGATGTTTCATATGATTGCTTGAATCTAAGCCAATCTAATGGATCACCAGAAAATTCCACAAGTTTTTTTGCTGAGGTTAATCTACTCAATAATAATTGTGTACTTATTTCTGGACCTGTTGATACAACTTTGTTCACGTTTTTCAAATGATTATTTTGCGATGTAGGATTTTCATTTCGGTCGGATCGATTACAATCTGTATGTTCCATTTCAAATGGACCGATTTCTTTTCGCCAACGGTTTATGTAATCAAATTTTTCTCTAGCTATACTTTCCCTGTCGCTTCTCAAATTCCCTTGAGGGATCAGATTTAAATCAGATTGATTGATTTCATTGTTCTCTAGTTCTGCCGCTAATTTGGCGTTGATTAATTCTAATTCAACCTTTTCTCTTTCTTCCAGCATTCTCCTTTTAACACTAGCTGTTTGTTCTGCAGCCTCTAGTATTAACCGACGTTTTCTCTCATTATTTGAAATTGATGTAGAAACAGAGTCTGATCTCGAATACCGTCCTTTTTGTGAACTATTTGCTGATGATCTTAATCGACTTCTGCGTGTTGATTGATTCCTATTTATCGATTCATTTGGTCGTGTCGAGTCACTCCCTGTAGATAAATTTTCTCCGTCGACAATAACATCTGGCCGCAATGACCGGGTGATCTGGTTTGATTCAATTTGCCTTCCAGTAGGATGATTTGGTTGAAAATTTGCAGACATCTTCAAATTTCGCAGACAACCACAATTGTACACTTAATTTTAATTATACTATTCGCAAGGGCAAACTAACACTATTTTTAACACGAACACTTAACACAATTTGATTAATCTTAATTTCATTAAATAAACAATTAATTATTAAATTTAAGAATTAAACACTGATTTAATTAAACACGTGGGCTTTTATAACCAATGAAATTCGAATAAACACAATTTAACTAAACACGTGGCCTGCTTCCTGTTATCGGTCATATTTCCCGGGTTTCGGCACCATTTTGTAAATGAAAAAACTCAGGAAGCAAGGTTTCAAAAAAAAATCTTTATTTTATTTTAACAAATTTATTTTTACTGTAAATGTACAATTTTTTCACTCGTATTTTTAAATGATTATTCCCGCGCGCACAATATAATACTAAATTCGTCGCTCTCTTGTCGCTCAGGTAGAACCTTTTCTTCCCCACTCTTCGTTCCTTTTATTGTTCTTCAATTCATTTATTGCCCTTGGTCGCCAAAGTTTTCCCTTTTGGGAATTTCCGTAATGATAATATATAAACTAATGTTTATATCACGTACACGGAAAACAGTCCTACCATTTTGCAATTAGAATCAAGCTAAAGTAATTTTTACAGAAAGTCAATACTATTCTGTTTATTTAAACTGGTTGTCATTTATATTTGTTTCATTATCTTTATTTATTTTTTTTTCTTCCTTTTAGGAAATAGTACTGAATGCCTAAACAATTCAGTCCTCTTTTTTTATCAGGAAAGGTGGTGAATGTTTCAACTGTTCAACCATTTCTTTCCTAGTCTTGCTGAATGCCCAAACAGTTCAGCCAATTAAATTAATAAAAACCAACCACCGATTTATAAACAAACATATTTAACAAATAAATTAAAACATTTTTACTCTATTTCATACACTGGTATAAGGTAATTTATCGCAGCTCAAATCTCAAATGTAGAAGATTCTCATTGTAGGAGAGAAATATTTTCTTTCATTTTTTTTTCTGTTTCATCGATATATATAATGCGTCCCATGAGTTCCGTTATTTCGAAAACGACAGAAGTTGCATTATATGGTTTTGGAGACCGCGTCGACTGATTGTCCTTGTTCACGATGCATTTCATACTAAAATAACCAATCTTCGACTCGATTTGATATCAAGCGAGGTAGATGATGCCCTCGGGGTATTTTTTTTTTATTTTTTATTTTCATACCAATAACGAGCGAGAGCTTTTTTCAGATCCACCATTTTCTCTTTTACTGAATTCATCTATATATGCGCATATAGATATAAAACTCTTTGGTAAACGGGGTCATTTATTCACAACAACCGATCAATTTCCAACTGCATTTTGTTCTGATATGATTGGCATATTTGACTGTTTGATAAGTCGCTTCGTGAAATGTATTTCTGGCCTATCAGGGAATTATTTATTAAATTCTTTTATTCCGCAGTATTGGGAAAATAGTTGATAGGCTTTTAAATATTAATTAATATATTTTATATGAAGAAATTTTTTTTTATATTTTTAATTTAATTATTTTTGGTTGAATTATTTTAATTATTATTATTTGATGAATACAAAATTTCTGTAATTTTTGACAATCAGTGGTAAAAGTCAACGTTAATCAGACAGACTTTGTCATTTTTGCATTCAGTAGTAAAAATCTTCTTTAGTCAGACCGAGTTTTGTTTTATTATTGTAATCTTTATAATCAGTAGGTAAAATCAGCTTTAGTCAGACAAATATTTATTTAATTAGAAAATAGTAGAGCAATTAGTATCAGTAGTAAATGTCATTTATGTTCAGACAGAACGTTTACTATTTCTGTAATTTTTACAGAAAAATTTAATAATGTAATTTTTACATCTATAGTAAAAATCAACTTTAGTCAGACAAACTTCAATTAAATTAGGCAGGGCTCGACGTAAATCCGTAAATCCTGCAAAGGTCCTTAAATTTTCTTGAAGTCCGTAAAAGTCCGTTATTTTAAAAAAAGGTCCGTAAAGTCCGTAATTTGATTGAAAAAGAACAAAAAGTTCGTAAATTGCACGATATAATTTGGAGAATTTTAGAGAAATTACAAATGATTGCAGAAATTCAATTATTTTTTAAAAAAAGAAAATTATTTGCAGAAATTTAATTATGTTTAAAAATTAAAAAAAAATTTCGTCAAAATTGCAATTATCTTTAGAAATAATAAAATTCTTCTCTGAAATTCAATTATTTTCAAAAATTTTAATAAAATTCGTGGCAAAATTTCATTTATTTTCAAAAAATTTCTTGAAGTCAATGATTTTCAATATTTAGAATATTTTTATATAATGTTCCAAAAGAATTCAATTATTTAAAAAATCTTTTATAAAATTCTACGCAAACATTTAATTATTTTCATAAAATAATAAAAATTTCACTGGAAATCAATTATTTACAAATGTTTTATAAATTTCTTTGCAATAATTCAATTATTTTCATTAATAATCAAATTTTTACAGGGATACAATTATTTTCGTACATAATAAAATTCTTTTTAGGAATTCAATTATTTTTATAAATAATAAAACTCATTGCAGAATTTCAATTATTTTTAATACAATTTTAATCGAATCTCTCCTAAAATATAATCATTTCTAAAAATTTTAATAAAATTCTTGGCAAAATTTCAATTATTTTCAAAAAATTTCTTGAAGTCAATGATTTTCAATATTTAGAATATTTTAATATAATTTTCCAAAAGAATTCAACTGTTTTTAAAAAATTTAGACAAAATTCTACGCAAACATTTAATTATTTTCATAAATAATAAAAATTTCAAAGGAATTCAATTATTTACAAATTTTTTTATAAATTTCTATGTAACAATTCAATTATTTTCATAAATAATCAAATTTTTACAGGGATTCAATTATTTTCGTACATAATCAAATTTTTACAGGGATTCAATTATTTTCATAAATAATAATAATATTCTTTTTAGGAATTCAATCATTTTCATGAATAATAAATCTCATCGCAGAATTTCAATTATTTTTAATTAAATTTTAATCGAATTCCTTGAAAAATGTAATTATTGTTAAAAATTTAACTAAAATTCGTCAAAAGAATTGAATTATTTAAAAATTGGTTGATAAAATTCTTTATGAGAAATTGAGAATTGAATTTTAAGAAACATTGAATTATTCAATAAATTATTTATTTTTGCATTTAAATAATTAAATTCTCGTAGTATTTTCTAATAAAGATTGATTTAAAAATGAATTTCAGTTAAAAACAAATGAGTTTGAAAATTCTCAAAAAAACATTTTCAAAAATTATTAAAAATAATGGATTTATAGAAAAATGTTAGTTAAAAACACTTAAAAAAATTTAATTTTAAAGAACTTACAAAATATTGCAGAAATTTAATTGTTTTCAAGAGTAATAAAATCCTTCACAGAAATTTAATTATGTTCAAAAATAATAAAATTCTTCTTAAGAATTCAATTATTTTCATAAATTATAAAACATCGCAGAATTTCAATTGTTTATAAAACAATTCTTATTCAATTTCTCGGTAAATGTAATTATTCTTAAAAATTTTAATAACATTCGACAAAAGAATTCAATTATTTAAAAATTTTGTTGATAAAATTCTTTATTAGAATTAAATTTTAAGAAACATTGAATTATTCAATAAATTATTTATTATTGTATTTAAATAATTTAATTCTAGTAGAATTTTCTAATAAAATTTAATTGAAAAATGAATTTCAGTTCAAATTTTTAGCATAATAATTGAATATTGAAAGCAATATATAGTAAATTTTTAGAAATAATTAAATTTTGAAATTAATTTTTTTGAAAAAGTTTAATTGAATTTTTTTATATTATTTAAAGTTTTTATTTTCTTACATATATTTAATTGAAGAATTAACGAATAATTATAATTCGTGAAATTGAATATTGTAAACAAATGGATTTGAAAATTGTCAGAGAACTTTTTCGAAAATTAATTGATTTGAAGAATAATTTTAGTTAAAAATTTTTGATAATAATAATTGAATTGAAATAATGAAAATAATTTTGAAGAAGTACAATATTCTTATTATATAAAATAATTATTTTTTCAATTTGCCACCTTGAATTATTATAAAACAATTTAATTTTTAGTTTCAAATAAAATGTTTTTTTATTTGACTCAGACTGGTTATATTTTTGTCAGTATAATAATTGGTCAGTGAATTGGTTTATAAGTTTTGTAAATTTTGATAAGTAGTAAAAATTACCTTTAATCAGACAATCTTTAAAGTTTCTGAAATTTTGACAATCAGTAGTAAATATATGTTTTAGTCAGACATATTAATTACAATTTCTGTAATTATGGACAATCAGTAGTAAAAGAAAGCTTTAGTCGGACACATTAGATTTGAATTAGGTAATAGTAATGAATGTAATTTTCAGTCATACAATTTTATTCATGGTTGAATATTGTATCAGTAGTAAATGTCAATTATGTTCAGACAGAATGTTTACAAATTTTAGTATTTTCGGACAATCGTTAATAAAAAAAGCTTTAGTCAAAAAAAACAGTAATTAAATTAGGAAATAGTAAAAAAACGTGTAAATGTCAGTTATGTTTGGATTAATCACTAACAATTTTTGTAATTTTTGACCATCAGTAGTAAAAATAAAGTTTAGTCAGACAAAATTTAATTAAATTAGAAAACAGTAGAGATATTTTTGTCAGTAGTAAATGTAATTTATTTTAATAGCGATCGTTTATAATTTTTGACAATCTGTAGTAAAAATCAATTGTAGGCAAACAGACTTTTGTAATTTTCAGAATCAGTAGTAAAAGACAGGTTTGGTCAGACCTAGTTTTGAAATTTTTTGTGATTTTTTGGATCAGTAGTAAAAATCTGCTTTAGTTAGACAAACTTTAATTAAAATATGCAGCAGTAGAGAAATCCATTTCAGTAGTTATAATTTTTAGACGATTAGTATTCTAATTTTAAT